TTTTTAATCCATTTTAATAGACTAATACCCACTAAAATTCATTGATAATGATGTTCTAATGATAACACTTGGAAAATCACTTCCGATTAATGTATGTTAAGAGATTTGAAACGTACTATTAAATTGTAACTATGTCTTTTAGCTGGGTTTTGCAGATGAAACATTTTTTACAGATGAAATTCCAATAACCAGTACATACCAACTACAACGTTAAGAATTAGATAGGCCTGGAAGCTTATGTGGCCCATTCAAAATACATGCTTATAGTTTTTAGTCCATAAGGAAAATGGGCCTTTTTGTATTTACTTACGTTGCATAATAGTATAACAGATAAACGATGTGATTGATAAGAAAATTCTCTGGTTTTAATTTTCATCATCAGAGCATTTTTACACGAATCAAGAAGAAAGACAGAGTTACAATGTTTATTCCTTAAAGGTTTCATCATATATTTAATTTTAACACAAATATTATATAACAATTTCACTTTTATTTTAGAGAAGAGCAGTCATTGTTTTGATTACTCTTTGCTTATTTAGTGACTACAAATGCCAATATAGACAAGTTTATTTTGAAAACACCAACAAGACCAATTTATATCTTCATCAAACATATAAGTAGAGACTCTAGAGATAACAATTTAGTCTTACTGCCATAATTAAGCGACTAGGCCGACTAGTCTCTCTAGTTGGAAACACCATTACAATGCTTCTATATTATTAAGTATTTTGGAGATTGTAAATTTTTAGTTTATAGAACACGATAATTTAAATTCTTACATTGTTTTCTTTTTACAGTGAAGCTGATGTTAATATTGACGACTACATAACTTTCGCGGCTATCGTTTTGCGAGTGATACGTAAAGATCCAAAAATCCAAAAATTAAAAGACATTGAACCAAGTGAGTTTTATGAATCACATTACATCTAATAATGTAGGCAGTCATTTTTTAATGAAGTTTGTTCATTAATTAATTTTGAGGTAAATTAGTGCAAATCAATGCTCTAGAAAGTAACGTGAGAATCATTATGGATCAAAACGCCCCTATTCTACTACGGTCTTGGACCAAACCTGTGGTTGCCCCCACAGACCAAGTCCCCAAGCAGTAGTCAAAAGTTTTGTACTTTGTACAGTTGTATTTATGTTTTCCAATTTACTAAACAAATTGTTTAAAAAACTAAATAAATAAAAATCCAAACCTATAGCGATAGATTGCGATGTGTAGAGACAAGCCGAAAGAAACGACAACTATAAGAACAACCTTTTTTATCTTTTCTTCAACTTGCAATCTATGAGGATTACGCCTGTTGAAGACTAATTTAACAAATT